TCACTGCAGTGTACATGTCAAAGTCTGCTAGTGCGGAATCTCCTACGGCTCCGGAGCTGGGTATTCTCCTGGATGGTGATTTAAGCAGTCTCAAATCCTGTAAACCAGGGAAGAGAACTATATCTAAACTAATCAGTAGACTGGGGGATAACAGGAGAACTTGTCCTTAGAAGTCAAAGGGCTTTTTTCAGTCTAGTACTGAGCACTTTTTTTCTTGCAGCCAAAACTACCTGTCAGATTTAGGATACCTTCCAGATCCTATTTACAGTAATTATTATGCACATTTTTTTAGAAACATTTTTCCCAGCTTCAGATATTTGCACCAGAAAATTGACCCTCTCGTGGCAGGGGGGAGTTTTCAAAGGCATAAAGGAATGTGAAGAACCCAATTTCCAAAGGAAGTTTGGCTCTTTGTCTTTTAAAAATACTTCCTAACCCTCACCCAGTCAAGGAACAAGCCAAGTGGCCTCTATGTCCCAGTCAAACCTTGCATTTTTCACTACTGCAGGAGAAATGTTTCTAAGCAATCTAAAAGCTAAATTCTCCCTTTGTCAAATATTCACCGATGTGTTTTGGGCCCCTGCACACATATTCTTGGGTATTATTGATCCAAGTCAATTCACAAACAGCAGAAAGGGCTATGCTGAAAGAGCAAATTGTTCCTAATGAATAACCTTGCCCTACTTTATATTATGTGCAGTGTTGGGAGGGATCATGTAGCTAAGTGTAGTTTGTCTATTGATAGAGTTTGGTTGGTGTCAGAACCACAGGGACCGATAAAACATTTTCCTGCCATTTTTGGCCTGACGCTCAGTAATACTCGGCATCCTGTACTTCTTCCCGGCTCAGGCTCCTACTGAAATAAGTAAGAATTCCTCTCGCAAAAGGAGGAGTCTCAGCTGATTTCAGCAGTGATGCAAGTGCTGGATTAGTGACTGCTGGATCGGGCATAGTCTTCAAAACACAACTTTCTGCAAATCACTCAAATGAGAAAGTGAAATCGTGTGTATGGTATTGCGCCAGTCAAATCTGAACAGAAAATAATTGATCAGGAAGACTGGATGTGTCACTTTGCTATACAGGACACGCAGCCCGCGTGGAGGTCTCCCCTCTGCAATCTTCCCTCACCCTCTGTGTGTGTCCCCCACATACACAGAGGCAGCCTTGTGACAACCTGTCTGGCATAGGATCTGGCTTACATTTCTCAGTGCAAGAGAGAGGGCTCTCCCACGTATTCCTCACCTTTAACAATTATTAGCTCCTGAGTTTTGAATGTTTAATAAACTTCTCACCCGGAATACGCATTATTCCATTTTCCCTTCCATCTTCTGTGCATACAGTTTGCACTGCCGTTGGTTCTCATGCCAGACTGGCTATTTGGGTCTGCAGCCTTGAGTTGTCTTGTAGCATTCTTCCCAAAGAGGCAATTCTCCTGAAACATTACAGCACAGCAAAGGAAAAGGAAAGCAAGTTCTGTCCTTACCATAGCGTCTCCACCTTGGGAAAGCCCCCTGAATCGGTGATCAACCTCAGTAGCAAAGCGATTGGCTAATCTCCCTCAGTCCTACCCCACTGTGGACAGGCTTTTCTGTAAAAAAAACCCTAAACCCCAGCATTCCCAGGGGAGCAGTCTCCTCCTGGGTGGTTCCCAACATTAGCAAAAATGTTAGAAGACACGTGCTGCCTGTTTTCTCATGAAACAACAACCAAATCTTTGGTGCTTCCCAAGTGTAAACAAGAGCAGGTCCAGTACCCCAAATCCTGCTTCAATCCTGATTTGCTTCCCTTTGGTAGTTCTAAATTGGATGTTTAGTGTGAACCAAGGGTTAAGTTTTGGAGACTTTCATCTATTAGTTGCTGGGTCAAGCAAGCTTTGCTAGAGAAACAGCTTACCAGCACATTATAGCCAGCATTCACTGTACATAAATTGAATTACTTACTAGAGGGTATGTATTTGTCAAAGCCTTACATTTTCTGGTATAATTGCTATTCTTGAATGCCTCCGTTTTTTGACAAGGGGTGTTTTTATCCTTTTTAAAATATCTGATTTAACCCCGGTTGATGTTTGTATTGGAAAAGAAAGCATGCTGTATACTCCCCTAGTGCTGTTCTTACTGTATTGCAACAGCTGTGTGAGATGGTGGGGGGTTTCTGTACCGTACTAATGGGTAGGAAGCCAGCACAGTTCCTCTCTCTTGCTCCTCTTTTTTTTTCTTTTTTTTTTTCCAGCAGCCAAGAAGTCATTGATTTTGATTAGCTTCGCAATTGCGCCTCTGTGAAGACTGGGGAGTGCTCTCTAAATGAAAAAAAAAGACCTCATCTTAGGTTTCAGCAGACGGTGCGTGTGCAAGCCAGAGGAGGAGGTTATGAGATCATAGTCTATATAGAACACCGCATAATGTGGCTGTGAGGAAAGTCTTTATTAATTTTTAAAGCAGCACTCCACCAAGATAGCTCCTATCACATATTGGAACTTCATATTTCAAGTTAAAAAAGCAGTCTAGTGTCGACTACTAATCAGCTTCTCTCCCCTTGCCTGTTAAAATAAGTCCTTTGGCCACATTAATTCTAGGATGGCACCGCTGTCTGCTTGCAGACAGCTGGGTTACACCCAGGACAGAATTTATCCCATTAATTCCAGATTCCTTCCTCTTCTCTCTTAGAATTATTTTCAGTAGATAAAAAAATATGGAATGGGACCAGGCCTCCTGTCATACACTTTCATGTGCCCAGAAGAGGCATCACCCAATAAAAACATAGAGCAAGTCACCAAAATCAATGAGTTGTCAGCAATGAGGAATGAGAAACCCATCATACTTCTGTTTTAGAGCATGTAGGCATGCAGAAATTACCCTAATTTAGCTAAGCCCATTACTAAAGCAATTCACTTAAATCAGAAACACTTGTTAAATCAGTTTAATCTGATTTGTGAATTTGCCTTGTTTCTATATCATGCTAAAATTATAAGGGTCTTAAATCCACTGCAAAAGCAGAAACAGTACCTTCTAATGAAATTGATTACAAACAGACTTGGTTAAACCGGTGCAGTTTCTATGTCCACATACACCTTGGAATCGGTCACTTTGCCCTGCTGTAGTCCCTGTAGGTTGAGCAGGCAGAAGAGAATCTCCTTGGGAGCGGGAGAGGGCAATGGAGAATGGGGAAGCAAAACTGAAGGAGATCTTTCCCTTCTGAAAAGCTGCATTACCATGTACAAAATGGTTCATGATGAGCACAGGGTAGTACATCTACCTTAATATTTAATTTTCCTACAAATGGTTTTAAAACATGTCTGTGGTCTTGACAGAAGTCTGAGATATGTAACAGACTACCTGTGGTTCCAAATTAAATCCTGGACCCAGATTTTTTGTCCATGTTAAAACCTTCTGGCTATATTCTACCTCCACAACTGGTGAACAGTATCTTTACTTTTCTTAGGGAAAATTTGCTTAGAGCAAATTCGATTTTGAATCCAAGCTTCAAAGCCTCATTCTTGTGTAACACTTTGCACGGCACTGCTTGCTGTATGCTGAGCTAAACTTCTTCATCTCAGTACAGAAGGTTAGGAGACACTCACTAACCATGTTAATTCAAAATCCAAAAGCTTAGGGAAGTCTACGTAACATGGGACTTGATCTGCCTTAGGAAAACACCAGTATATCAGCTAGTCTGAACGGAGAAGAGGAATCCTCGCATGCTGCTCCTGCCTTGGTCTTCTGATTCTGTCCTGGTCTGAATGGGCAAGCCCTTCTCGTGCCAAAGGCAATCTCTGCTCACAGTGCAGGTGTATATCCCTGTCCCCAGCGTAAGACACCTCTGTGCTTCTTCTCTCTGCCTATCCTACTGGCTTGAATCACGCGCCATCTGCACAACAAGAATCTCTGTGAGCGTACACCCTAAACGCACTCCCACGCTCAGGTCTTCCAAACAACAGTTCTGCCCTTAGCAGTTGTGGGAAAAAGCTGACTGTTCCAGTCAAAGCTGCAGAATTTCCATTCCCCATCTGCGACAGAAATTTAAAACTACAAAATATAAAACAGGTGAATATCTTTTTCTGACAATACTTATTTGAATACAAGAGTGAATTTTCATGTAACTCCGATCAGACTTCTTCGGTGTTCACTCTGCATGAATACTTGAGTACTTGAATTTCAGAAGTTTTTTAATATTTACAGAAAGTGACTTTGGAGCTTGACAAATACTCACTGAAAGCATCTGGGTATTGAACTGCCATTATTAGTTACATCCATTATTAGTTACAGATGCCACCTAAGTAGATAGCAAAACCAACTACAATGGGATTTAGTTTTCATGGGTATTCACGGCATAACCTTCCCAATCAATTTGAAGACCACAATTTATCAGAAGAAAAAATCTTCCCATTATCTTTAGTCCTTAGGACATTTGCAAATTTTCCAGTCTGCTCCCAGATGCACTGCTAACAGAATAAAACAGATGAAATGCAGTGAATACACAATTCCTTGCACATTACTGATTTAGTACCATTTGGATGTAAACTCTTGGAGAGTCACTGTGCAAGTTTCCACCCTCACCAAAGCAAGAGCAAAGCATATGCTCACTGCTGACAGGAGTTCATGAAGGCTCCTGTTTATGGTTGGATGTGGCTTCTCTTTTTTGTAAAAGGAATTTCATATGCTGATACTCTTTGTACATATTTATAATGACTTTAATAAAAAAAAAAGAAAAACAACTGTTCAATGGCAAAAAAAGGCTACAGTTTTTATTTCCTCTCTGAAATTGGAGACAATAATTTCCTTCCGTAACCCTAACTGTTTTCCATTCTCATAAGCTGTCATTAGAACTGAAGTTTCCCCTGTATGTTTTCTGGTCCAAATGTCATGTTCTAGGAGAGGGTAGAATCATCCTGCCTCACAAAACCATCACCGTAACTCACCTGAGGAGGGAGGGTTTGACAGACTGCTAACAGCACAGAGCTGTTTCTTCCACAGCATCCAGGCTAGAAGAACAGGGACTGAAGGATGTTGGTTTAATTTAACAGCTGTATAATAGTGGCCTGTAGTAAATTCTTTATCTTGCAGGAGTTAAGAGGATCTTTGTTATGCTTCCAGTAGAATAAATACCACAGCATAAAATTTCACTTTCTATTTAGCACTAATTAATTTTAACAGAGCAGTGGAGCACTGGCTGGCCCACCGAGTCTCAGGCACCCATGGCCTCTCAGGTACAGGCTCTTCCCATAATGAAGGCCTCGCATACGGATCGTGGTGCTGCATTTTGTCACTGAGGTATCTGTTTGAATAACAACTGACACTGCCAACTGGTAAAGACCATTCCATAAAGAAAAAAAAAAAGGACTATAAGAATGCAAAAAATATTCCCCGTACTTTCCCTTTGATTGCCTGCCTGCCTTAATCACCAAATAAAAAATAGTAATTTTGAAACAGTGTATCAAATACTATCTGTAGTGTTAGGCTCATATCGACCTTTTCGTACACTTATCCAAATACATTTTCTAGGAGCATTTAGAAAAAAAATCAGAATTAGAAGTGGCTTTTCAAACATTTTGAAAGCAGATACCACCAACCCTTTAATTAATTGGCATTGCACTGAAAACTGATGCTGAATCCTTTCATAAATTGCCTGCCCACAGATCAGTAATTTTGCCTTTTCCTGGTGAATATACCAGACTATTGTACATAACAACATTTTTATGCCCACTGAAAACCTTGCTTCCTTCCTTACTGAACTCTCTTCCCCCATCCCAAAAAGGCTTTTCCCATTGGAGATAGCCACTGGATTCCTTGGCTTAGTTCTCCACTTTCATGGGATCCATTTGGCAAGAATCAAATCACTTTGTTTTGGAAAGTAAAGCTTTTCCTCCTCTACTTCCCTGTATCTCCCAAGCCAGATTTGGACTATCTTCCCTGCCCAGGCTCTGCCTCTCATCTCTTCTCCTCTAGCCGTACTGAACTATTATTTCCAAAGAAATGTTGAGCCTTAATCCTGTTACCATTAGCTCCTGTTTGCTTTAATTTTTCTCCCTGTGGAGTTTCACAGCAGGCGGGGAAGGCGGCAGTCAGTACATACACATAGGCTCATTTCCCCCAGGTACAGTTCTTCCTGATTACCCACTCAAGTGGGATTGTAACCTTACGGCCATTTCCATAGTAATGAGCATGGAAGATGCCACAGTTGCCTAATGAGGCACCTTCTCTGGGCGTTCGGCAAAAAGCAGAGGTTGTTTAGTGAAGGAGAAAGCTCCAGCGAACAAACAGCAACTATTTGCATGCAAGTGCCACTGCAGCACCCTCAGCAGAGATGGAAATTGCAGCAATATAAAGTACGTTAATTCTCCTGTTAACAATACAAGGTATCTCCTCGAAGAGCTTTTTCTGAAGCGGAGGTGTTACAATCAAGTCTCTGCCATCACAGGTAGATTATCCAGCTTGTGTGTAAACCAGGCTGGCTCCTGAAGCAATGCAGCTGCTTCATTATAATTCTGCCCTCAAGCTAGTAAATCTCACTAAACCCAGTCTCTCCAGGGGCCCGGTATCCTGATGCCCCAGCACTTCTGGTATCAGCAGTGCTGTATGGGCTCAGTTCTGTGTGAGCACATTTTTTTCTGGTTTTGGACCCAGGCAGGTTCTGGATGCTGAGTGGTGCTGGTTTTTAAAGCCAGTAAGCCTTGCCTCAAGTGGCTGCACTGAGGAACATATTGCAGAGATACCTGAATTTGTGAGATGCTCTTGGTTAGGACCTTAACTTTTCACCTAGACAAATCAAACTTGACTTTAAGCTCTCCCTGCCTCCCACTGTTCTCCCCATGTGCTAGGAAATCAGAAAGTCTGATCATGAAAATTAAAGAGGAAAAACATTCCCAAGAAAAGCAGGTGTCATTTCCAGCTTCACTAGCATGGTCCTTCCCAAGTTCCTTGAGATTTTATTAAGATGACAACACGTGCAATTTGTGGCATCAATTGCAAAACACGGCTGCTGGGAAATGATGTTTCTCCAACCCCAAATAAACTTTGGACTTGAGGTTCTGAAGCACTGTTTTGGAAGATTTCTCAAAGGTAATATAACAGCAACAGTGTAATTCTATGAAGTTACAGATTCAGGGAAGGTAGGACCATTTAATGTGAAAAATGTCACCAGTGGTTTGAGGCAGAGGAAGACAGCTTTCTTCCAGTATACCAGGTTATACACATGTAATTCACAGTACGCTTTCCGTATACACACAATACTTATCTATACTAAAAGCACAGGAAAAAAGGAAACATCCCAGGCAGTTTATAACTGTGTAAGTTCAAGAAAAAATCTTGGCTGTAGCTTAGCCATGGAATTTGCCATAACGTAAAACACATCTTTCTTGCCTTTGAGGATAAAGTTTCTGGCTAGTAACAATTATTGTTCTGTTGTCTCCCGGAGAAACAGAGCTGGAAGAAAGACTAAGACAACAAATCCACGGGCAGCTAAACAGGGGCATGGGATCATCAGATTTTCCAGCTTTTTCTTCTCTCCACACGTTATTCCATTTGTTGGTATGTATTGGTTTTAATACACCTGGAAATGAGCAGAGGTGGTGCCATCTTTCCAGCAACGCAGGGTTTCTACTGTGACAGAACGACAAAGAGGACAGGTCTTCTCCCTGTCAAACCAGAGGCAGAGGCATTCTTCACAAAACACATGCTGTGGAGACAAAAGGGCGTTATCACCATGAGGGCAGGAGGTCCAGTCTTGTCACCAGTTGTGCGCACTCAGTAGGACAGCCATGGAAACAAGAAATTATTCAAGTTCAGGTGGACAGTGCAGCTGATTAGCAGTACTCACGTGATATGAAAAATAAATCCCAGCATTACTAGTACATCAGTTTGCCAAAGCTAATGATATATTACTCTGTTTCTTAATATAGCAATAGAAAGAAACATTAAAAAGGCCTATGACATTTGGGCTAACAAAGTAGGTGAGAGGCTTTTCTCTACTATGTTTCCATCCTCAATTCCCTGAGTTATTTTACAAGTCTCTACTTAGCTCAAACAACCCACTTTCTTCCCCTTACTCCCTATTGCATTTGCTTTTTTCTGCTCACATCACCCATCCTAATCAGTAGCTTCGCAGTCCCAGTTTCCCCTTCTCTATAAACATCAGTTTTCAGCCCTAATCTTCTCCTCTCATTTCTACACCGAGCCACAACAGGATTCTCCCTCCAGCCTGCCTTGGGTACTAACAAAGATCAGGAAGGATGGCTGTCCAGCACACAACCCCATCTAGCCCCAGACTGGAAGAGCAGGAATAACGCAAGAAGGGAGTATTAGAAGCTGTAAAAAGCTGAGATGTCCTCAACATGTGTGGAGTCAGCAGAAATGTTATTCATCAAAATATCAACTCTGATAAACACATACAAAGATAGCTTCTCTGGGGCTTATAGCTCGATAACATCTGCACAGATGTTCACAAGAAAAGTAAGAGGCATGTTTGATGCACAGGTGACCTACTTGCTTTAATTTGATAACCCTGTTACAAAGCATGGGAATGTTAAAGCTCTCAGAAAAAAAGGCTCTTGAGCTTTATTTTGGTATCACAAGAGAGCATATATCCCACCAATTCCATTCCCAGAAATGGCTGGATCATTTTGCCTAACGTTTTCCTGCACACCACACATCAGCCAGAGACAGCCTCCAGGATGCAGAATTTCAACCCCAAAAGACAGAGCTTGTCTGAGTTACAACTGACTGAAGAGACAATCTTGGGGAAGCATCACCAGTCTTGCCACGAGGCAATGCCTTCAGCTGGCCTCTGATATATAAGCAGAACCCATGGCAGTGTGGTGTGTTTGAAGGGTTTTACCAGATTAGGACTACTGCATTACTCAGAGCATGCCACTCTTAAGCTCTAGGTTTTGCCAGTTTTTGCCAAATGAGAAACAGGACAATTCTGAGTTACTGGCAGTGGTGACCAACTTCAATATGCAGAACTACTTTTATTCCTGTCCAGGTGTTCAGAGGCCAGACCATGATCACACAGTGCTGCACTAGTCTCCATGCACCCTATTAGGCTCATTCTGGATCTATGCCCCTGTCGTAGCACTTGCTCATAATTCAGTTGGCCTATTGACTAGCCAGTCTCCCCAGTGGTCAGATAAAAATGTCTTGCACTCTAGATCCAAGATCTGGACTGCCAACTGGCAGTCCCTGGACTACAAGGCTGGTCTTCTCCATCTCAATAGCTATGATCACTCCCTAAAGAGTGGCTCAGCTATCGTGAATCACTGGCTATCTGGAAGAGGGCAATAAATAGCCACTAGGACCTAGATCAAGACCCAGCAAATTATTTTAGAAGTACCTAGGCTAACTGTGCCTCTCCCTAGCTGCAGAAATTAACCAAATGAATGCCAATGGGGGAACCTGACGTGTGAAGCTTGCGGTCTTACCTGGCACATAAGAATCAAAGGTTCCCTGAATTCTGCTTGGCAAATGGCACAGATATCACCTGCCTCACTGCACTGCTGGCTGGTAGCACGAACTCCATAGGTCTGTTAGGGAGAGATGGAAAAAAATCCCAATGCCAAAGAGTTTGAAGGTAGTCTCGTTTGTGGCTAAGCATATACATTAGACACTGCTTTTCACACCCAGATTCCCTGCATGACCTGGGAAGGACATGCGTGTTACATCACTGTGTATGGGGAAGGGAGATTTGGGCACCAGCACACAGAACACAGGGAGTCTGGAGCTCTGTGTTGTCTGGTTTGTTTTCCCCTCGAGCTGACTCCATCTTTTAGTGCCTCCACTTGTGGAGCAATGATAATGAAATTTAATGAGCTCAACAGGGAGCTGAAAGGATTAATTCAGCATCATTTGCAGAGGTGTTTAGATAGTGGGAGGTATTATTATTAGCAAGTTAGACAATAGAAGAAAGAATAACAGCAGCAGCACCCACAGGCTCCATTTTTCTTTTTAAATATGTGGAAGGTAAATGTTGCTTCTCCTACTGTAACAGTAATAGGGTATATGGAAACATGCTTAGGAAAAATGACCAGCCCAAGCCCACAGAATAAGCAAGGCAAGCTCTAACAAACTTCTATGATGTTATGTTCCTTTCCTCTACAGTCTTTGATTTTACCATTTTAAAACATAAGTCACAGTATTTCACTGCAACAGATCTAAATATCAGTACTGTATAATGCGAAGCCTGGGATAATTTCTGTGCACTGTAGGATCTCTCTTAATGTCATTGCACATCAGGCACTATGTACTTCTATTTAAAGTCTTTCTCACACTTGGCACTACAAAGTTTTGTCAGCTTCGTGCAGTTTTGGCCTCAGTGGATTAATCCATATTACACAGGGCTTCCAATCAGGCAAAACAGGCCAGACTAGCAACAATCTCTTACCACAGCTGGGACAGGGCAGGTATCAGAAAAGGTTCCTAACATTCCTGACAAGAGATACCAGCTTATCCAGCCATGGGACAACAAATTATTTTATTCTATGATCCTGGTACACTAAACACTTTTCAACTCCATCATTCAATAGTAACAAGGTTCCACCTATGAAACTGCTTTAATATGTATGACTACTTACCTGTGGGGTACAAAGGACCTTCAGTGCCTTCCGGACACTTCCCACACGACCACAGATGTCAAAAGACTGCAATAGAGACATGCCATTTTAGATACTTTTCACAAAATGTGTGTGTGTCCCCGCCCTGTGTGTGTGTACAGTCCAGAAACTCAGGAAACAGTGTCTCCAAATGGATACTTGGAGGGAACAAAGATCCAAAGTAACAACGGTGCCAAGAAAGATTTCATGGTGATCATGAAATATGTAATAAATGTGAACTGACAGTGGAGAAGGGTAGCCAAAAAAGCTCTGGTAACAATGGACTGCAAATCAGGGACTTTACAGGACAGAAAGAGGAGCAGACATCAGGGGGTTGTGGTAGGGTAAATTGCCCAGCCCCACTAAGTAGGAAAAGGCTAAAGTGGACCCATTCCCACCCTGAGAACTGAGTACCTGAGAAGCCCAGAAGTGAGGTTAGAAAACTCTGCGCCTAGCTTGAGAAAGAGGGAAGGAAGGGCAGTCTTTTCACATCAAAGAAGCAGAAAACGGCTTTCCTCAGCCTCTGGGGAAAAGGGGGATTTCCAGGGCTGTGCACCTCTGCCACACAGCTGACACTTCAGTGCCCAGATGATACTATGAAAGAAGGAGTGGGAATTGCTTGTCCTGCTGCAGAGAGTGATTTAGCGGAGTGCAGTGATTAAATGCTACCAAGAGAAGAACAGCCTGAGGAATGAGAAGCAGGACTGAGGCTGAGTTGCTCCCATCTGCCTGAAGAGTGAGAAACTTCAAATGCCAGGAAGGGAGTGAGTTTCCAGCACCTTGGTACTTTGCAGACAACCAGAGATGGCCAACAGCAGGGGCAACACCAGGTCCTTTTCTTTCCCTCTCCCTTCATTGCCCAGCAAACATGATGTAACTGCATCTAGAGAGCAGCGCTCATTCTGGGCTCCTCATTAAAGACTAAAAGCTGTTCAGAGAAGGGCAGAAAATGAGCCTGCAGAAAATGATTTCTGAAAAGAGACTAAAAGACATAAATATTTACAGCTTGGCTGAGCAGTACAAAAATGGGGGAGAAAAGATGATAAACTGCCTACAAATATCAAGGGGCTGAGCAAGAGCGGAGACACTCAGCATTCTAAAAGTGAAGACACAGTACTACTAATAAAAGGCAAAACAGCTTGAACACCTAATCCAGTATGTCAGCTTCATCTTCCCTATCTGCTGGCAGAACACAGGGAAAAAGACACTATGAACTAGACAAGATATGAAGAAATGATTGTGCGAAGAACAGCCCTGCATTAGCTGGGAGAAGGGCCAGATGCAGCTAGGAGGGCAGGGGAAGATATGATGCAGAATATGCAGAGCTGTAGTTGACTAGCAGTACAAAGGCACCAGAATGCCGGGAGTTGGCTTTCTATTTTTTTTTGGTTAGCATGATTAAGTGGGCTCACTGCAGGGAATGCCAATGAGATCATCGTGCAATAGATGTGGAATCAAATGAAGGCACCAATAATGCTTCCAGTCAGCATGTAAGAAGGCTCCCAGGGTCCTTCCAGTAATGCTTCCAGTCAGCAACTAGCACTTGAGGCTGCAGACTACTACAGACTTTTTATCTTCTAACAAGGATAGGGATCAGCTCTTTTCCACAGTCCAATTCACAGCTTTTTCTGGTTGCTTTGCTTACAGGTGACTTCTAATGCCTTTGCTCTGGCTCTGATGTCTCCTCTTCTCCCAGTCCATTTTCCCCCTTCAATTTTTTTCCTCTGGAGTTTCCTGTACCCGCAAAAGATGTGTGTTTCAGTAGTCTAACATCTATTTATCACCCCATGCACTGAAGTCTATGTTGCATCAGTCATCTTTCTAGCAGTATGATTGCAACAATTGGGTTCATAGGCAGTGAGTGCTTCTGTTCAGGACAGGCAAAAAGTAAGACCTGGATGCCCTTACTGACGAACACCTGGGATTTCTTCGCCAAAATCAGAGGTTCATGTTTACACAGCCCAGACAGAGACACCAAGACAGCGCCCATCAGCTGCACTATATACAACGTCCTGAAAGTCGAGCCTGCCCTTTGTGTAGGGAAAGGGGATGCAGCCCTAGCTGAGCCCTGGATTTTTGCCAGGAGCACAGAAGGTCTGAGTGCCAAATTGGCTTCTGTGGTTTTTCTAATGTGGTTTGTGGGTTTGCTAATGTGGACTCCTTTGGGTATATTTTCAGTGTCTCAGGCAAGGAATTAGACCTGCAACTCTTGTGATTGTAAATGGGATGCACACACCTAGTATTTCATGACCTGTATTGGAAGAGTGTGCTCCCGCTTTTCTTTCACCTCCAAGCAAAGTCTCTAGCATGCAGAGGTCTAATCCTAACCTGGACACAGCTGTAGTACTAAGTAGTTGCCATAGAATGACCTGGGACCTGTTCTTGGACCTATCACTCTTCAGCTGGCCTATCCCTCCATTTACAGCTCTGATCAGCTAGATGAATTAAAGGAAGAAACATGCATGTTAAAAGGCATAGGCTGTAGCCAAGGCACTTTCACAAAAGTGTGCCCCACACTCCTGGTCCTAAGTTATAGTCAAGGCCAGTAAATAGCTGTCCTTTTCTCATGGAGCTTCTAAATAACAGATCAGCAGAACTTTTCAAAATAAGGTTGCTTTTCCAATCTAGATCACCACAACACTACTTATAAAGGCTTCATAGTACAGAAATGTCAAGTTAACCCATAAAAAACTGCTTGCACTTATGTGTCAGGGCCCTGAGTGCATTAATAGGCCTTCGTGGCCCTGACAAGCCTCACCTGGGGTCTCCACCCACAATCCCTGCCCATGGGCCCAAGAGGTCTATTTAAGCTCAGCCCTGGAGGCTTCAATTCATGTCTGAGCTGTGCTATGCAAGTACTAATTTCTAATTCAGCCACAGCCATGCCTCTGCCTAGCTACAGATCTTACTGATCTGGGCATCCCAGCACATGGAGTGACTTCCTACCCTCACTTTGAGTCTGTCTCATCATTACAGCTATGCCTTGCAATTGTTGGACTGTGTCTGACCCTGGCTGCCTTCACCAGACTTGATCCTGACTTGTGGATTGATGTTCTGGCTTTATCTTGGACCTGCCTCCCCAGCTGAAGATCTGGACTCTTTGAACCTGGTTACTGCTTCCAGGCCTGCCCTGCCTGACTTGTTTGGGCCCTGGCTGGTGAGGCCCTTGTCCTGCCAGCTGTGTTTTTGTGCTTGGCTCCCCTTCCTCCAGGAGCAGGTAGGTCCCACTGCTTCTTCACACTATGAGGACTTCTCCAGATATAAGAAGTGGCATGTACAACTGCAGGTAAGCATCCCTTTTCCAGGTGTTGAGTAACTTTTGCAAGAAGGGACACCAGAAATATCACTTGAAATCTGCCCTTGTAATTGTGATCTGTATACCTGACCTCACAAGCCAGAAGGGCATGGAAGGGTTGGATGCTGTTGTCTAGAGCAGATCCAGACAATGACATCTCTGAAAAGGGCAACAATGCTCTCCCACAGCACGGAGTAAAGAGCAGGAAACATACAGCTGAGAGAATGGATGGGTGTGCAGGGAACTACACTGGTTTCATGTGCCTTCTATTCTGACACATTTGCTCTGTTTCTGGTTTGATCACAGATCTGCTGTGATCAAGTTGCTTCAGTTCCCATGACCTCCTCTGCCTATCTTGCTTACAAAAACTGGTAATTCCTTGACAGTAGGGGTTGCATTGCCCCATTCCTATACAATATATAGCTGCAACTGCAGCCACATCTCATATGAGAACTATAATATGATTTAGTATTGCTTAGCAATCCATTAGCCCTTTTGAGCTGTTTTCAGCTCAGATATATTCTCTCTTCTCTGTTCTTCAGTCTGCTTATGCAAAGCCATAGCCCCTTTCTCCTAGGCAGAAACAAGTATCAGGGCTGCACCAAGCGTGACTCATTTGGCCTTTCTCAGAGGGATAGATAATACAAATGTATCATTGTTTGCTTCAGCTACTGCTCTGCCTCTAGGCAGGGTTCAATACACACAATTAGAAATACAACTGTTTCTAGACCTCAGACTTGAGATTCTTCTAAATAAGTCATACCTTTAATTTACAGTTATATAGGCAGACTTTGTGCTCTTAACATTCTTATTTTTGAGGAAACATTAATTACTCTTCTCCATCACTGAGATCCTGGACTTGTATCAGCCATACCAGGACCTAGAATGGGGCCAGAACCACCTGTTTTATCTAGGCAGGACTTGGATGACCCTCTCTCCCCCTGCTGCATTCAGCACTGTGAGTGACAGAGTACCTACCCTGCCTTGAAAGACCTAGAGAGAAACATTTAAATGTCTTCAACATTCCTTTCAGGGTTGCATCTAGAAGTCTGGAGACGGCTAACGTCTCTTCCAGTACTGGTCCCCCAAGACTCTACTCCCATTCTCCTCTAGCCTTTATAGAAAGGTATTAGAAAGCAACAATGACTTCATAAGCCTGATGCAACACTACATGAGCAGTCACAGATCTTCCTCTAGTTCACTGATGCCCACATCCTGGTGAAGTAAAATGCCTCTGGCAACTAAAGCACATGGTGTCCCCAGCTGCTCTAGCTTCCCTTCCTAGGTAGTGATAGCAACAATCAAGAGGTATATTTGTTCCCTTCAACTGTGCTTCTTTTCTCTGCTTTTGCTACAGCTTCTACAGAGGTTATTAATGAGGTGGTACTTGCCTTGCAGAGGCTATACAGGATGATCAGGATCCCACCTAGGAAGTAGCTGCTGGATGGATCATCTCCCATGATGTATTTATACCATAGCTGGATGGGGACAAGGGAGCGGAACAGCTGGCTCAGCTCCTCAATAATCAGATAAAACTTTCCCTGTAAAACAACCAAACAAGTGATACATGGTTACTATCAGGAAGTGAAAAGAAGAGCACTTAACAAGTGCAGAGCTTGAAGCTTATAGGACTTGTGTTCACTGTCCACCTGTGTGCTCTGTTAAATGGTGCAAAGACCAGTATTCATGAGATGCAGCTTTCTTTGCAGCCATTTAACTCGATACCTAGAAAGGATAACTATCATTTCGCTGTTTCATAGTGTTCCTCTTGCTCTGTCACTTATCCAGCTACTCTATCCTTTTGAATCTTAAACTTTTAGAGCACATTATGGATATCCACTTTATTGCATATCTGGACAATGCTACAGAACAGTAGCAGCAGAGGTTAATACTTAGAGGGATTAATATGATGTAAATTGTAGATATCATTAATAATGACAAAAGGAATGCAAGGTAGGTCTCTTTGATCTTATACTCCTTCTGAAGGTACAGGGATTAAATGTAAGGTGACATCAGTCTTCCCGACAACTTTCTAGATAATCCCAAAGAATCAGATTAATTATCTATTTGCCAGCATCCTTCCCCTTCCACTCAGGTGTGTGTTGGCTCTTTTACAGTACACAGATAAAAAAACCTGGTGCTGGGGGAAAAAAAACCCAACAACCTCAAGGCTTAAACTCACAGATTACCAAACCTTCCCGAGGACCTTACAGAAGAAAAGGGGGGGAGGGGGAAAGCATGCTGGTTGAAGTGCTTCTCTCTCAAAAGAGAGTCAAAGAATGGGCAATACCCTTTGTAAAGCTTCACTGAAGCTGTCCTTGCCATTCTGGTGTTTAGTCCAAGTAGAAAGCTTTCCTTCCTTGAAGGATACCTGCAAGGTAACATGAACTTCCTCCTGGCTTACTACAACCATGAGGTGCAACAACTAAAATGGATTTTTCTTACCACATAATTTCTATTTTAAAGCACCTAAGATTAGGGAAGCTGGCTAAATAAGGCTATCTAATTTAGGCCCCCCCAGTCTTAATAAGGACCTGTTTATGTTCTGTCCCACATTGTTTAAAAGGGAGAACTGGTGACAGGGCACTAGGTCAGGGCAAGCTGTGAGCCCAGAACTATGCTTAATCTGCAATGACATTATCTGGAGTGAAAGAATTGTTTTTGACATGTCAAAAATCTTCTACTTGATAAGATCATGGAGAAGGGGAAATTCCCCTGGAATTTTGCTGTGTTGTCCCAGTTAGCTTTGTCATCAGTGATGTCATCACAGGCCAATCGTTAATTGGTGAGATTTGGAGTGGGGATTAAGTCCTCCGCAGTCCATGAGGCTAGCAACAGCCAGCGCCCTTCCCTAGGGTCTCAGAGATGAGATCACTCGGCAGGCCATCCTGCTGTACTGAACAAATCGAATCCTTCAGAGAGCTCTGGCATTCTCATGATCTCATATCCCCCCGGGGACAAGGAGTGAGGTCACACCAGTGGTTGCTAACGGACCTGGGCTGCTTTCTTCCTCTCCCCCCATAGCCCCCCTCCTTGTTAATCCCAGGTGGCATCACATAGCAAAAATGTAACAGCAACAATCTGGGGTCCTAAATGCAAGCAATTTATTAGATTAGCACAGAGGTCTCTATCCAGCCTCATGCTTCAATACAATCATCGTTTATTTCAGGAGCCCCTGTGACAGAGGGTCGCAGTCTGCTAATGACTATGCTGTCACTTCCTCCCCTTCACACAGGCAGTTCTCCACCTCCCCCTCCTCAGCCAGCTCTGATGAAAGCTACCAGCAAGCTAAAGGCATCAAACTGTTTGCTCTCTCTGACTCGTTCCTCCCACCAGGCTCACACTCATCATCTTTTATTTAACCTTGCTTCCCTAGCAGGCTGGGCTGGGACAGGTCACTGCTTACTTTCTCATTGCATCAGATGGAACTTCTGGATCCAGCATTTGCGGCATCAAAGCTGAAATTCTTCTACCACAGAAGCTTTTGAGGCACTAAAACACTAGAGCCCACAGCAAGACCTAAGGAAAGATGGGTCACAGGGACTCTAAAGTAAACATGCAGCAAGGACAAATTTCAATTTTCTAACCACATAATCTCTACCCTTTGCAAGGCTTTCACAATTCCTTTATGCAATGCAAATCTTCAGTTTTCAATGGTAACTGCAGGGTATCAGGATTTCTTAGAAGCTAGATACCTGTTAACACCCTCACAAGAGGGGTTTTAAATGGATGCATCTCTCCATCCAGGCTATTATCACCACCCCTGTGACCATTTAAGAAAGGCTTGTTGATAAGCTTAGAGTGATTACAGCTAGAAGGGAAGCAATACAAGGACAGCTGAGCATCATTGAGAACTAGTCCTACAGTAAATGCTTACAGAAATTTAAGTCTTGTCAGGCATCTCAGTCCTCAGTGCAACACACCAGCCCTTTTTTAAACTACAGGAAGTGCCTAGAAAATCAGAAGTAATTCTACAAAGGGCTGCAGCAGAAGTGGGGTCTTCCTTCTGAGCCAGAAGCTTAGAAAACAAGGGTTGTTCCCTATAATTTCAGCAGCAAAATTTAGTCTTCTGATAGCAGTAACTTAGTGCAGACAGCACCCATCACTCATAAGCACACTCGATATACCTTTCTGTCTTCTGCTTTTCAGTTTTGTTATATCTTGGCTATCTAGTTGAAGTTTTCAAAGCCAAATCTTTGTCTCAAGCTGTATTTTGTCTGAAAACTTCAGCTAAAGTATTTCAGCTATTTCTCATCAAGATTAGGAAGAACTGTGTGTTATATTAAGCACAAATACAATTATTTCTCCTGTGCATCTGACTTGGAACAACAGCTTGAAATAAGGCAAGGCCTGCTTCTGTTAAGTGACTTTTTCTATTTCATAAAAATCCATGTAAATCTGGGAATCCTCTCTTGAATACACTCTATAGATTGAACAGTTCTCTGAGATCAGCAAAAGCTATTTCTGGTGAGCCTGTAAGCCAGTCCCAATGCATGACTGGATTGTGCAGGAGCCAGCCCTCCAGAGCAAGTGTATCTACGTTGCTGGACTGCAGAGATTAAATAGGATATTACCTGAAATTACAGCTCCTGGTTAGGGTAGAGTCACATACCAGAAAAGACCCTCTGCTCTGTTCTCATCAAGCCCTTGCGACAGGTTGGAGTAAACCCCGACTAAAAAGTAAGAAGTACACTGCTTACCCTGCTTCCTCTGTAGGGTCAGTTACTGAAAAAGCTGACAGTCTACTACTACTGTTATCAAACACTTAATTAGCACAAGTGGCAAAGGACTGAGCTGTGGATCTAATTATAGCAACCCTGCTGATGAGCCTTATGATATCAAAATTTCACCATGTGGTTCCTTTTTTTTTTCCTTCCAGAATGCTTTGTTAAAAACTAAGTCAATGACTCATGTATAACCTTCCATTTTCCTCTACCTCCTTCATCACATAGAAAGACTATTTTTATACTTTAAATCAAGCACTTTTGAAAGAGCAGAATTCAGGATTTTCATACAATTGCAATTTTCTTTCTGTACATGCAGTATTATACAGTCTGTAATGATGTGAACACATACTATTTTTTCACAGAGGGTGAGCAGTATTCATTAAGCATGTAACTTTTTTAGTACTTTTTTTTATATCCTCATTACTTGATGGTAGACCTGCATCCTATCACTTCATGCTATTTGAGCTCTGTTCAGAGTAGCAAAATACTAACATTTCTTCAGTCTCTTTATGACATCACCAATACAGTAAAAGATTTTAAAAAACCAACCTTATTTTCACATTGCTGGCTGACATAAGGGACAGCTATTCTCTGCATTTTCTAAAGGAACACTTGAGACATGGAAAGACTAAGGTTAAGGAAAGGTTGTTTTGGTGTCGAAGCTGAGATATCTGGGATTAGACTTTTTATAAAGCACTTAATTTTATAGATCATATTACCATTAAAAGCTAAACCACTGACTTCAGTTTGCAGCTGTACATGACTTCTGGAATCACATAGGAATTATTTGGCAACATAAAGGATGGAATTTTATTCTCTAGTGTAGCATTCAACTTTAACTTGTAGAACATTCTTCTTCTGATGGTCTCTTTGTTCTTTATGCACTTTCCAGTTTCTACAACAGCTTCTTTTAATACCTCACCTTGCTTCATCCGTGGGGCACAGTATATACTGGTGATGGATGGAAGAATTCTTGCAGAAAAATAACATGGAATCACATAATTAAAAATTGAATCACAATATATACACACCAAAGGGGCAAATTACAGCTGCAGAAGCAATGCTAATTCCTGCATAGCCTAACCGAGCACTGACTTTGTAGTCTCATTTGACATAAGGCTTTGCATAAGTGTGCATGTGTGCCTCCACAGAAGGAAACAGAAAGGCATGCTAAGGTTTTACACAGTGGAATTAAAATGGGATGTAAGAGAAGTGAGAGAAGTTGCAATGAGGCAACTGTAAGTTGTGATTAGCACTCGAGGGAAGTTCCAAGTCTCACTTGTTCTGTTGCCAGGAGCATTAGGACATATTCTGAAACAGGAAGATGCGAGAAAAAACTTTTGAGACCTGCTGGCAATTTGGATCAGAGGAGAGCAGGATCTGCTGAGATTTCAGGTCATATTGCCAATATAAGAAAGTGTTGGGTAAGAGCAGTAAACAGGATTGTGACACAGAGGATGCTGGTGAAAATCCATGCAAGACTAATGAGTAGTTCCAAGGTAGGACTAGAGGGGAAAATCAGGTTTTTAGTTAGTGCACAGCACTTCTGAAAGTCATGTCTTGGATATCTTAAACTGGAAAGTTAAACTTGGAAGGCACCTAAGAGCAATGATTCCTTTAAAAAGTTTAGCAGCAGTGACTTTCAAAGTGTGTAAGGGAGAGGGACAGAGAAGAGTCCCAATTCCTCAGTACCTAGTCTCATGCTTCAGTTAGTCTTTTTCTTTCATAAGTAATAAATCCCACATTCCTGACTCTGGGACACCACATCTGTCCCAGGCTGCAGTAGGGAAAAGTCTTTGCAGAACCATCACGTA